TAATTTTTCCTCAGATTCATGAAACCATAGAGACCATTAACCAGCTGAAGACCCAGAGAGAGTTCATGTTGAGTTTTGCCAGAGATCCTCAGGGCTTTATCAACGACTGGCTGCAGTCCCAGTGCAGAGACCTCAAGGTGAGTCTGCTCGTCATGACCTCAGACTGAATCTTCCAGGAACTTTTATCTGTGGTCCAGTATCACCACAGATACCATGTTGCTTCTCCTTGAAAACAAAAACATCCACCTTACAGCCCGTTACAGCAGTTATCACAGCTATTGTCAGTTTACTGTGCATCCCTACATGTTTTGTATGCTTTTAAGCAAGAAAAAATGTCTTAAACTGGTAAAATTATGTAGTTGAGGTGTCATTCAGAAGAGTAAGGGTTCTGCCATTCTGTGTAAATGTTCAGTAGTTGAGAGAAATCTATCATGGATGAGAGGAAGCAATATCAGTTTTTCTTGAGGATACAGGATGTGAGGCTGTACAGATTTGTGATTTTGGTTAAGTAATATTGACTTGTCAGCCAACCTATAAAATCATTTTGATTGCAGCAACCACAGGCACATTTTATAAAAAAAAAAAAAAAAAACATTAAAGGAATGTAAAAAGAGAAAAAACACTTTTAAGAAGCAGAATACTGTAATTTTGGAAAAGTAGGTACAAATGGGGAGAAAACGTCCGAACTTCTAAAACTCAAAAAATACTGATAATCCCCAAAATATTATAAATAGAAGGAAACACTCTTTTAAATATCAACAGCCACTTGACATGCATTAAAATGTCTTCTCTTGTCAGATGTCAAATGTCAAGAATCGAATAATTCAAAGGAAAAACAGCAATCATAAACATCCCCTCTGGCATTTCTAAGCCAGACGGGATTCTAAGTAATTTTCAAGTTCTTGTTCGAGGTTAATAGTATTTGCTCTTTGCTGTGGCACAGTGGCTTGGGTTTCAATTCGAGGTTCAACTGTGGACAGAGAGGTCTTCATTACATAAGTACGATGACGGCGTGCTCTCTGAAAGCACAAGGCTCACACTGCTAACTGTAACACAGGAGGGCAGAGTCAAAATAGAGCGAGAAACATTTAATAACATGTCTGACGGCGCACGCTCGCCTCCCCTCTGACCATGAGACGATTAACTGCTGACCAGCTGTCAACCACCTGCAGTGTTTGTTCAGCCGAATCTCTGTGAAATTGAATGAATTTAGTCCAAAGCTCGCTGGCGGCTTCCACAGCAACAGCCCAGTCAACCTTTTCTACAAAAAAAAGAGCCTGTGACATTATGTTTGTCGTGGCTGCTGCAGTCACTGTTTGATTCAGGCACTTTGATAGATGTTACTCATCCTTAAAACCTCCTGTGCGCTTTAATTTCTCCGCTGTAGGATGAAATGAGTTGTGTCTAATGTCTAATTGTGCCTTTTTCCTCTTCACAGACCATGACAGATGTGGTAGGAAACCCTGAAGAAGAGCGAAGAGCAGAGTTTTACTACCAGCCATGGGCTCAGGAGGCAGTCTGTCGCTACTTCTACTCCAAGGTAATCAGTTTTTTCTTGACTTAATCTTCCTCCTATATTTCGCCTTCTTTCATTTAAGCCATGCTAGCAGGATGGTCCTACCACTCTAGTCCAAATGTGATTATCTCAACAAAATCCTATTGACTTATATGATCCGCTGACCTTTCCTCTAGCGCCACCATGAGGTTGACATTTGTGGTTTTGAGTGAAACGTCTCAACAGCTAGTAGATGGATTGCCACGACAATTTGGTTCAAACATCGATGGTGTCTGGAGGATGATTTGTAATGACTCTGGTAGTCGTAGACGTTAACAGAAGTACAGCCTCACAGAGATGCTAGCATGGCTTTAGACTCGATGACTTGTCATCCTGCTCATTGTTTACCTTTTTATTACAGCATTGTTTTCTCGTGATTAAATCTGTTGTATGTGAAAACGTCTTTCAGGTGCAGCAGAGGCGACAGGAGCTGGAGCAGGCGCTCGGCATCAGGAACACCTAAAGAAATCTGTCCACAGGCGACGCCTGTATAAGAATAAGGCGACATGTTCTGCTGTCGGAGACGACTAGTGTGTGTGTGTGTGTGTGTGGGATGTTCAAAATGAATTCCTCCAACAGTTTTCTGACAACCTTAGAGAGACATAGATATTAGATGGCTTTACCGTTATATAGGATGTCCTTTTTTTTTTTTTTTTAAACCTTCACGCTGCAGCTCAACTACTCTTGCAGTTTGGTTGCTACTTCCACTTTTTTGTATGATTTTGTTTTTTCCTCACACAAGAGCTCCTTGAGCTCAGTGTATTTTCTCTTGCATGTCTAAGCCTTACCTGCAAGCATTCCTTTCATTTTGATAAAATTGTGTCCACACAAAAGTACAGATTGTACACAAATGAAAAGCAAAGGGCAACTTTTTAATGTGTTTTGTCCCTCAATCTAAAAATATCTTAAATCAGCTGGAATGTGTTGATTCTGTCATGGCTACTTGTTCCCTTTTTTTGGAAAGTTAATTCACATTTTACACTCCTAACCCAGCCCCCAGATGCTTACCCATTCAGTTAGATATTGATTGTGATTGTGTTTGTAATGAATCAGGCTACTTTGCTGCACATTGGCTGTTCATGTGTCACTTTGTCTTAAGCTCTCATTGGTTTGTTTTGACAGTTTGTGCCACAGTCTTTTGTACAAGAGATGCTTAAAAGCTCGATCATGGCAGAATATGCATCTTTTGTTAATGGTGGCATTTAGTATGAAGTTGTTTTTTCCTTTTTTTTTGTTATTATCAATGATCTTTGTTTTTAAATATGTATTATATCAGTACTTGTCTTGTTAGCTAGTACAGATTATCAAGGAAGTAGCTAGTATGAGTACCTCTAGTCTATATAGTTTTGTAAATACTGAGCAGAAAAAAAACTGAAGATGGATGTGAAGTAAAGTTGTATCTCTTATCCTGGCAGATGTTTTTCTTAACTCTTTGTCTATGCTCAGATAGTTGAACCAGTATTTATATTATTAATCCGGCCTCGTCAGAGCACAGTGGTTTAGTTCTCCACAAAATAAAGACGGCAGTCTCATTTGACAAATCTCTGCTCTGCGGGACAAAATGTACACGACATTCATGTCGCCTGTGAGCTGGGAAAGGTAAATTCTTCTGCTTTTTAGTTTTGTGTATTTTAATTATGTGCAGAGAAGCCATACACACTTGAACAAGCTCGTGTACATGAGGCCAAACAGATTTAAGGAGTCGTAGCTTCTTTGTACACTGGCTGAAGAACTGACACCTTTTTTGAGTTTAATGGTTGTTTCCCTGTTGAAGGTAAAGATGAGTGTCCTGGCTGAAACTTTTGAGTGTGTGCGTTTCATTAACGGATTCCAAGAATACACTAATGTGGGTTTGGGCGGGTATATGATTTGAAACGAGCGGTGGGAACCTCTGGGGTATAAAACACAACACTGGGGAGGGGGACTGTAGTATTATTTGAATCTGCAGACTTTTTCATGGACCAAACCTATTTTTCTGTATGTTCTTATTATGTTATAATAAAGGATATGTAAAATGTACCCGTTTATCTGCCAGTTTTTGTTTTTTTTTTACCTCCACATAATTAAAAACTGCTTTAATATCCCACATTTGGGCTGCAAATATATGTTACGTTTATCATTGATTTATTTGGAAATTGGCTTCTAAATTGTGATTTTATCTGATATGATGTTCTTAAACTCAACCCATTAAGTTTACTATTGTAAGACAAAACTAACAACATTTCAACATTGGTGGAAGTTCTGAAATCCTTTAAGAAAAACTACCAGTACAACAATTAATTTAAAAGAAATGTCATTACAAGTTGAAGTCCTTCATATAAAACCCTACTTAAAGTATTAACAGAAGTATGAAAAGTGAAGTAGATTTTCAGCAGAAAAATGTCCCCTGTGACTGATTATTACATACAACATTATTAGATTGTCCATATTGATGCATAAACAGCGTTTTACTGCTGTAGTTGCAATAGTTTATACAGTTCAGAAGTTCAGTCCAGTGGTTCCCAACCTCAGGGCCAGACCCTTCATAAGATAAATGTGGGTGACCATGAGATGATTAATGGGTGAGAAAATCACTGGATAATCTTTCCTTTTTTTGTTAAATAATGGATAATTTATTTAAGTGGTGGTCTTGATGAAAACCATCTGTGGAGTTCAGAGGAATGTCTCTCTGGTGCAACAGCTAATAACTAAACATGACAAGGGACAAGTAGACACTGCTTTTTGTTTGGTTATTAAAGTTATTAAATCCCCTCCAGACATTTATTAAGACATACAAATAATCAGCTGTCTGATATGTTTATCCTTCAAAAAACAAAGTATAATTTCAACATTAAAATCCATAAAACTTTCAGGATCTATGAATACGCAAATTATGTTTCTGAAGTTTTCCTGCTGGACACAAGATGTCTCCTAGTTCACTGTAAAGTCTCAGTGTATGTGCACTGGAGGCTTCAAGCTTTTACATCACACTTACAATAAGTTGCATACTGGACCAGGTTTGACTTCCAAGTCATTTGTGAGGTAACAAATCATGCTCATAGTCCCCGCCCCCTTACAAATCTGATTTTCAATGAGCTCAGAGAAACTTTCCACTTTCAGCAGATTAATGTGAAAAAATCGTTCTAGTGTCAAACTCTGCACAGACATCGTTCTGCACAGTGAAGCTTTAGTTTGTAATGTGTTTAAGGGACCAGATTTCCATTTATTTCCTCTGGATTGATTGATTCAAGTTTGTACATTTTTAGGAGGAGAAAAACTTGATCATGTTTGTGTGTGTGTGTGTGTGTGTGTGTGTGTGAGAGAGAGAGAGAGAGAGAGAGAGAGAGAGAGAGAGAGAGAGAGAGAGAGAAAGTTTGTCTCTGAGAAGCAGCCCAGCAGACCAACCAACAGGAGTGGGTGTGTCTGAGCCTCAGCTGTGTCTGGTATAAATACTTTTTGGCTTCAGTCTGTTTTCTCACCGGTAGCAGCTCCGTCTGGAAGGTCAAACACATGATGGCAGCACCAAAGAAAATCTGTGTGATTGGCTCTGGTAACTGGTGAGTTTTTAGGATGTTTGAATGAGCTTTAATGCACCTTTGAATGTCTTTCAGTTCAATGTTTGAATAGTGGGGTCTGTCAGTGGTGAGTATATAGTCACCATATCAGGTTTTCTTGTTCTCTGGATAAGATTTCACACACTGTGCAGTTTTTTTTGTGTGAATGCTGTCTAAAAGTTGGCAAACTTGAAAGAAAGAAGGCAACTTTAGCCTTTGTTAACAGCAGATAAATAATTCATAAAGTTAATAAACTCCCCTGCTGTTTTGCAGAGTGGAAGTCTTCTGAGACTGAGACTGTCTGACTATACGTTGACCTTTGATGCCTCAACACTTCAAAATCTTTATTAAAGCAGCAGCTCCTGTCTTTTATTTTGCTGCAATGTTTGTGCTTAATCAGCCTTCATGTGTTGACGTCCCTCAGCCAGCATGACATTTAGATAGGCCAGTGGTGGAAGAAGTATTCAGATACTTACTGATGTATGTAAGAAATACTCCATTACTTGGGAACATCCTGCATTACAGTTGTATTTATCACAAGTATCACAAGTCAAAGTACTCATGTAGCAGTCATCTGAATTATATTATTATGATTATTATATATTGATGCATTAATATGTAGGCAGCATTTTAATGCTTCAGCTCGTCTAAAGGGAGACAATTTTAACTGAGCTGTGTAGATCTGAGTAGTTAAAGGTTCACTGTGTGACATTTATGTAATGGAATGTAATATTAATAGTTATGTTTTCATTCGTGTTTAATCACCTTAAAATAAGCATTGTATTGTTTTCGTAACCTTAGAATGATCTGTTTTGATGAGTTGGAGCGAAGTCGGCATGTTAAACCACCAATGTTTCCACAAAACACAAACTGCAGATAGGGCCTTTCACATTTTTGGGGTTTGTTTGCGAGTTTTGCGGCGACTGTTTGTTTTTTCTCCTTTACACTCGGTTGAGTCGAGGGGTTTCAGCTGGCTGCAGTCTGCAATATCACCCCTAGATGCCACTAAATCCTGCACACTGGTCCTTTAAACTTTAACAGTTCATTATATTGTATGTATATTAATCTTAATCTGCAGCTATAGCTGTCAAATAGATGAAGTGTTGTAAAAAGTACAATATTTCCCTCTAAAGGTGTAGTGTAGTTAAAATATAAAGCAGTATAAAATTAAAATACTTAAGTAAAGTGCATGTACCTTAAAAACTGTAATGTACTTATTTACATTCCACAACTGACATTAGCTGTAACAGGACAGAAGTTCAACTGATATGTCCTTATTAATGCCAATTTACTGCTACTTAACATTGATATCTGATCTTAAAAAGGGATTTCTCATAGCTTATCTTATGTTATGTGGGCAGAATAATAGTCTTCTGGCATTCACTTTCCACCTGTAGTGTTATTCTTGTCTGGAAAAGCATCGGAAAAACTATGTAAGTCATGTCCACATGTCCACGTGCAACAGTTTGACCTGTGACACCATCTGTTCACTATTACAGAAACTTTCATATACAGTAACATCTTTAAATCAGTCACTAACTTAGCTAAAAATTAGGTATGAATTACTGAAAATCTACTTTTTTTATTTTTATATTTTTACACTGTTGCTCATTAAGCTGTGGTCAGAGTACAACATCCTTAATATCAGTAATAGTTGATACAAAGAGCATTTTCCTATGTTAAAATACACAAATAAATAAGCTGTCATCATCAGTCAGAGCAAAAATCAGGAAATCTATATGAACTGTCTAACTAAAGACTAGACATATAAAAACTCCAGTGTTGAATTCATTGCATGGTTTACATATGACAGAAAAAACAAGACATTTAACCCTTTTTGGGAAACAATACGTTCAACCAGCCATTGTCTTGACCCTGGGATGATCATTTGGGTGTCTCCATGTCCACAGGGGCTCTGCCATTGCCAAGATTGTGGGTGCAAATGCTGCCAAGTATGACAAGTTTAATACCACAGTGAACATGTGGGTGTTCGAAGAGATGGTGAACGACCGTAAACTCACAGAAATCATCAACACAGACCATGAAAATGTGAAGTATCTGCCCGGTCACAAGCTGCCCCCCAATGTGGTGCGTATGAAAACAACCTTGGCCTGCACTGCACTCTCTCTGTGTTGGTGTTGCCATATTATTGATGTTTCTCTCTCTCTCGTCACCAGTTGGCTGTTCCAGACTTGGCCGAGTCTGTGAAAGGGGCTGACATCCTGATCTTTGTAGTCCCTCACCAGTTCATTATGAGGGTGTGCGACACGATTAAAGACCATATCAAAAAGGATGCTGTGGGAATGTCTCTCATCAAGGTAACATTTTTCTTATGTTTAGTTCAAGTTCTTTGTCACACGTACAGTTACAATTACAGGGAAGCAGCCGTTGGCATTGAACATTCATGTCCTCGAGCTTCCTCCAACAATGGAGCGCTCATACAAGTATGTATATAAAGAAAATCAAACACGTAAATAAGAAAAAGGAAAATCTAAGACATATAATAGTGCGGTAGAATAAAATATAATATTGAGGTACACTGGTGCACAGCAGTGACAAAATTAATAGACTGCCATGTATCATAGATGGGAATGTAGTGAATGAACGAGTCCATGGTTATAGACAGGTAAGAACAGGTAATGCACATGAATGATTGTTTAACAGCTTGTAGTAAAGTAAATATATATGTATACTACCATATGTATTACAAGTAAAGTCTACAGTCAGGTGTAGAACCATAATGGAAAATTAAGTCACCAGTTCTTTCTATTACAATTGATTTCATGGTACACTTGAGAAATGAGAACTATGCTCTCATGATGCGCAGAGATTTACTTTGTGGTTACCTGTGGGCTCCAGGGTGTCGATGCGGGTCCAGAGGGTCTGAAGCTGATCTCGGAGGTCATCCGAGGGAAGCTGGGCATCAACATGACGGTCCTCATGGGAGCAAACATTGCCAATGAGGTCGCTGACGAGAAGTTCTGTGAAACAACCATCGGTATGGAGGATCCTTGAGTTTGATGTCTACAGTAATTCAAATGATGGAATTATCTTCAGTTCAAACCCTAGATTGTGTCTTTCTGTGTCATATGACCACACAGAAATCTTGTATGTGGTTTTTTCCATTCATTTACATAAGGTGAAAGATACTCTCTTCTTCATTTTGGTGTATTTGGAATTAAATCCGTAGAATTTAACACAGAACATCCTAAAAAATACAAATTTTATTTCAAAGGTTTTGACATATTATTTATTGTAGTTGAAAAGATGCATATACATTGTTCAATACAGTATTAATGTGGAAAATTATGATCTTATTTGATTTGATTTTGTGGTCACAGGGTGCAAAGACAAGACTTACGGGCCCATGCTGAAAGAGCTGATGCAGACCACCAACTTCCGTGTGACTGTGGTGGAAGAGTCTGACGTTGTGGAGATCTGCGGGGCGCTGAAGGTCAAATTTTCTCCTCTTTTACACAAACTTGTATGATGTCTTTGATGATTTATAGTTGTAGACATCAACTGATATTTCTCTTCAAATTCATAATCTGCCCAGACATCTTTAATCATCCAAACATCTTCTTGAAATGCAAACAGGCTGGTCAACATTTTCAGTGAAAACTTTAGTTCAATTTAAGAGAAGCATCTTCTCATCCTCAAGGTGCAGCACTGGTCCCAACAATTTATTGATAATCTTATTGTGTTCAAGAGACAAACTCAGGTGCTGGCTGTAGAGCATAGATGATCATTAAGTACTAACCACCTAACATTTTAAAGTGCAATGCAATGACAGCAGCGCCTCTTCTTTATTGCAGAACATTGTAGCAGTGGGAGCCGGTTTCTGTGATGGCCTGGGATTCGGCGACAACACCAAGGCAGCAGTGATTCGTCTCGGCCTGATGGAGATGATCGCCTTCGCCAAGGTCTTCTGCACAAACTGCCCCGTTTCCCCCGCCACCTTCCTGGAGAGCTGCGGCATCGCTGACCTCATCACAACCTGCTATGGTGGACGCAACCGCAAGATCGGGGAAGCTTTCGCCAAAACAGGCAAAGTACGAGGAAGAGATTTTGTCCCCCTGTGTGTTTGTATTTGATAATCTGTGTCACTTCTTCTTCTTATGAAACCAAGACAATGTAACATCAAACACACAACGTCTCTTTCTCTCTCTGTTTAGACCATTGAGCAGTTGGAGAATGAGCTGCTGAACGGTCAGAAGCTTCAAGGTCCAGCCACTGCATCCGAGGTCCACCAAGTCTTGAAACAGAAAAACATGGTGGAAAAGTAAGTGTGTCTCATATCTTAAGCACAAGATTGAATGTTTTTCATTCCTACAATTACTGAGGATTGAACGGATATCTTTATCTAATTGTGTTCACATTGTGTTATACAAAGATGAGAACATTGGTACCACTCTGTATGTATGTATCGTAAATATGAAGGAAGCGTATCTTTGTTTCCTGGGTCCGAAGTTCCCTAACCCCAACCCTAGAACTGGGGAACACCCATAATGTGCCATATAAATCTGGGGAACACAAGGACGCTGAAACATAAGAATGAGCCCGTTACGAAGCTGCAGTTAGCAGCTGGTTAGCTTATCCTAGCTTAGCACAAAGACTGAAAACAGGAGAAAACAACTAACCCTGTTCTGTCCAAAGGTAACGAAATCTGCCTTCCATCCTCCCTAAAACTCACAACACATTACAGCTAGTTATTGTTTCATCCACACACACATAAATGAAAACAAAGTTGTGGGGTTTGGCCAGGTGCAGTAACTTCCATGAAACCAAAACTTGTCTGTCTACATGTCTTATACATTTTTTTTTTTTTGTGGTACAGATTAAACAACATTATTCCCGTCATTCTCTCGCCTCTGCAGGTTTCCTCTCTTCACCGCTGTTTACCAGATCTGCTTCAACGGCCACCCTGTCACAGAGTTCGTCAACTGTTTGCAGAACCACCCAGAGCACATGTAAAGGACTGCTGAATGGGTGGAGGTTGGGAAAGGACTATTACACTAGAACCACTGTATTATCCAGGTGAATATAATAGAGCGGGGGAGGTTAGGTGAAGAGACTGTGCCTAATCTTGACTATCTTCATGTTGGTATTTCAAACAGATAAAGAAATGGAGTTGCCTCTTTTTACCTTGAGTTGCTCTGTTTGACTCCTGTTTTTAACTCATTTTAAACATACATGTCACAGATTGTTACATAAAATCTACCAAGTCTTAAAAGTTATTTAAAAAAAAAAAAACCCTGACTTGAATGTTATAAAATATTGCATAATTTCTTGGGTAAAAGTGCCTTAACCTGCCTTTTCACTGACATGTATGTTTAACAGAAGGGTGTGAAACAAAGCACTGAACAGACGTTGTTGTTCCTCTTCTGGACTTTTATTAATATGTAGCCAATTACCCTAAAAAGACTTATTTTGGAATAAATTATTGAACCTTTGTGCCTGTGTTCACGTTTTTGAAATGTATTCTTTATAACTCGCTGGTATCCGCCTCTGCAGCACTCACACACACACACACACACACACACACACACACACACACACACACACACACACACACACACACACACAGACTCCAGCCTCACTGTAACCTGACCTGAGCTCAGCCACTCTAAACTCTTCACCTTTAGAGAGTCCACTTCAACCTTTCTTGAAGTGCACGTCCCCCTGCCTCAGTCCTCATCGGTGGATGGTCGTGTTGTTCTCTGCTGTTTTTAATTAATTCAACGTGATTATGGATGCCTTTTGTAATCGATCTTTCCTCGTGTTTTCATTCACAAAACATCTCTGGAGGTTGCAATCTTTCCCGCATCCTGTTAAAATGCCACCAACCAATGTGCGTGTTCATTAACAGCCATCTGTCCGGCACCATATGCCGACGTATCCCATTAATGCTCAGTGCCAGTAAGTCACTGTGGGTAAGAGTTTTCAGCTAAAAGCACCATGACAGACAATGCGGGGGATAGCCTAGTTTCCTCTGTCCTTGGAGCAGTAATAGTCATCCCCTGCATTGCCAGTATTATGATTGATAAAGGAAGCCAATATCATCTCTATATATCCTCTTTTAGCAGCTCTGGTGCTCAGTTATGTCACAGACCATGAAGTTACATAATTTGCCACTTGTTTAAAATTTGATTCCCTTGCTGAAATCCCATGCATAGTTATTGAGTCAACTGCCCTGTGAGATTTCTAATAATAACGCGCTCCGAGGGGGCAAATGTCCATCTATAATTAGATGGCGGACAGCACTGCAGCTGCCTCATCCCTGCTTTTCGAAATACTACACCATTGTGGTGCCATCGAGAATATAAATAATGTACATTTCAGCTCAGATTTTTAACGTTTTCATATTTAAAATTAATAATAAATAAACTATAATGACTTGGAGGAGTCCAATGTATGTCTAGAAATAAAATACTCTCTATATTTGTACCTTGCAAGATATTCCCTGGCATTTTCTACTTGTAATACATCCACTGGCCACTTGGGTGTGCCATCCTATCAATCACAGGCCCAATCACACCCATCAGGCGTTATCTACCTTTGATACGGTGCCTTTTGAGATAGATAACGTAATCTGTGGGATTACTCTAGAGGAAGCTGTGAAAACCTCCCACGGTCTAATAAGATGTGATAACTCAAATATAAAAGTATCTGAGTTGGCTCTAATAGAAATAAATAAAAAATAAAAACCCAGCAGGGATGGAGGGCATACACGCATGGCACCCAATCCCTTCAGCGGAGGGAGGAGGCTCACTTCCTCGATTCCAGTCCTCCTCCCAGGGCGGCAGCCAAGACTAAGTTAGTCAAGTTGGCCGATGGAGGATGTGAAACACAGGAAGCTGGGCTGTGTACCTTCAAAATTAAACTGGCAATTATGAGAAATTAATAATAAGAGCTGTTTTCTTTTTTTTTAAGTGGAGGGTAAAGCGACGGATTTGAAATCTGAAACAAAACCACTAACTTAAACGAAAATAAATCCCTACAAAAGTGGACCTTTAAAAAAAAAAAAAAAAAAAAAAACACTGCAAAACAAAAACCTAACCGTTAACCGTTACGACTCTTATTTTGAAAACCTAAACCGGAGTGCGCTTTTACCCCATCTTTCTTCACGCTGGTGCGGTGAAGTTGCGTGTGGCAAGTCATCTTAACAAGTGACCCAGGGGGGTAGGAGAGGCGTCAAAACAAGATTCACACGCATTTTCTCTTTTTACTTTAAGAAACCCGATCGTCTTCCAGCCGTCCGGGGGTACAGGAGCGCCGTTAAACATGGCTGCTCTCTCAGCCTGGTTTTGGAACGAGAGGTTTTGGCTGCCACACAACGTAACCTGGGCGGATCTGGCAGACCCAGCTCCCGGGGTGGAGTACCCCAAAGCTGGACACTTGTTGGCTGCCTTGCCGCTGGCTTTCGGGATTTTCGCCGTCCGGATACTCTTCGAAAGGTTCGTACCTGTTTATTCATGTCGGGTTTTATCTTGTGGAGTAATAAGTAAAACAGAAATCCTCTTTTAACGGACTTTTTGTTTCTCTCACATTAACGGAGTGATGGGTTTGCTCGCAGTGGGTGGACCAATATCTTTTAAATGTGTTTTAACTCGGGGGGGATTCACAAACTTTTCTTTGGTCAAACATCACAATTTCTCTCAGGTGTCAGTTGTTTTGCCTTTTAAAACTACGTTTATTTTATTTCCTCCCTACTTTCAGTGGTGTTGTGGTGCCTGGAGAAGTGGGTATACTCTTAATTTATTACTTTTATTAATTAAAAGTGGCCCTTATAAGTGAAGGATAATATGTTATAAACAGTTACATATAAAGCTACTATTACATATTCATTATACCCAAAAAGGAGCCAGTAGTAATTGAACATTGTCACTTTACTTTTGCTGCTTGACTTCAGGCTGTAAGGATCATTATGAAATTCATGAAATAATGAATATCCCTTATTCCTTATTCCATGTACTCATGAAAATTGGAAAACTGTCGCCTTAGCCATCCTAGGAATAAAGAAATTGAGCTTGCAGAACAGTACTGTATGCTCCATCAGAGGGGTGTGTATATTGCTGGGTGTACCTGTGTATACCCTGCACTACACCACTGCCTACATCTTTAAAACACAAAGTGTGTTAGATATCGCCTTAAAACATCGTCTCTTGGGTCTATCTTGAAGTGCATGCAACACGGTCACAACTAAACCCACAGTCACCGTTGGCTGGGCACCCCTTCCTCAAAACTGTTGTCGTTGATGTATGGATCCAGACTGGGTTGTGTATCCACTGACTGTTAACCAATCTGCTTATTTGTCTTTGGTTAGCTGCCCCTATCTGATGCATGCATGCATGCTAGGGAGTGCTGCCACTGACCCGCCAGCCTGCTGCGTCTGTGAGACTGCCACTTCTACTTCTAGTCACATGCTGTGTATGATCAACGTATCCATCCAGTCCCGTGCAAAGGTGAAGCTGGGCTTTTTGTTCAGAAGAAGTGCAGAAGACGATAATGCAAAAACAAACAAAAAACAAAAACGTAGCATCTCGACTACAATATGCAGAAACACACAAACCCGGCTTGGTACACACTCGGATGCCAGCCAGCTGCAGGGCTCTGCTACACAATCGAGTGGGGATGTCCTGAAGGCATTTTTGCTTTGACAGACTGACAGAGTGATGAGTTTCTGTCATTCATTTGATAGCTGAGATGTTTTGGGAGTTACTTTATTACTGACAAGACCTTCTTCCTCAAATAACAGTAAGTCCAATCTAACATAATGTGTTTCAGCGTAGGGGTAGACAAACATAGGCGTGTCAGACAGGTGTCGCCAACCAGGGGAGGGAGGTGAATCTTCTTCAAAGATCTCACAATGTCTCAAAACAGACTCGTATTGGCGATTTATGGTGTTTTATTTAGCCGTTTGATCTGGGGAGGTGGGCGGTGTTGTGGGAGTGCTGAAGATCAAGTTTGATTAAAAAAAACCCTGAGGTCCAATTTAAAAGCTCTGCTGACAAGTTTCTCATTTGATTTGCAGAAAGCAGTACACCGCTTATTGGACGAGACAGTGGCAACAAGAAAACCACTTTCAGTCATTTGTTGACTATTGAACTGTGTGACCTGATACAGTGGTTTCACTTCACAACGCCATACTTTACTCAGAGTCTCAGACATTTATTTGTTCAGCCACCGATGTGTCGAGGGAAGTTTTCCTCTTTTATAATTCTTATCTGTTTCCTGTTACTAAATCCTGAACAACCAGTAAAGAAAGTCCTTCATTGTGCAGCTTTGTTATGAAAGTATTAGAAGAGTGTTGCATTAGATCTACAGCAGACGACATACTGTACATTCGTCATCATTTTCATTCTTTATTTATTAAACAACCGCTGTAGTATTTTGTTTGTAGTGTTGATGCCAGTTTGAGGTCAGGTGAAGCTTCAGTGGGGGATGGAGGGTTGATAGTAGTGATATGAGAGGATAAAACAAAGGAAAGTTTACAATGTATATCGTCTGTCAGCTTACAGTATGTACTGTGAGATAACAGACATTTAGGAGATTTTGTCGATTGTTTTATTATCTGTTAGTTTTGCATCAGTGTAATGAAGTATCTTGATTCGTCAGGTACTCACAGGATTATCAAAAAGGCAGACACTTGCATCTGGTTGTTTTTATCTGAAAATTGCACCACACCAGATAGACACACTTTTGTCCTTGTTGTCCATCCCTGTTTCCATTGTGTCTGTGGTTTGGCATATTGCAAGTATATGATTAAAATTAATAGGCCATTTAGTGACAGTGTAATGTAATCTAATCCAACTGCATCTCATCTTGGCAAGGTATAGCTCTGCTCGCATGACGGCTAGACTGGCTTTCTGTGACAGCTCTGTGTGTGTAATTATAACACAATGCAGCCGCTGTCATTGACATATCTTAGTGTATCAATTGTTAGCCGACTGCAAGGCTATAAAAAGTGAATTGATCAAAGTTCACATAATGATAAAAGAGCCGTTTAGAATTGTGCAACCTTTAATCAAATGGGTTTCTATTACTTCAACAGAAACATAAACCAGTGACTATACCTATATTGTTTTACATGATGTAACATTGCAGGTAGGAGATGCCTAGTTGTCAGTCAGACACAGTGTTGACTTGACACCTGCAGGGCCAGACCTGAAACATGGCGTCAGGCGTTGTCTGTTTTATTTAGGCACGGTCAAGTGGCTGTAAATAAGGAGCAATCAGATATCGGAGGTGTCTGAGGAGAGTTGCAGAGGCGTTCGATAAGATGCAGCCCTGTGCAGAGCCTCCTTCCTGTCGTCTCAGGTGCCAAAGCTGTTCCTGCAGAACAGACAGATCCACAGCGATGTTATCAGACAGCGTTTACTCAGCCCGACACTCTGACCGCCTGACTGCCTCATTCATTTATTTATCAGGAAAAAAAACCATCACAGCTTG